AATTAGTTCCAGGAAGGTGTTTTTCGTTTGTTTTCACTGTTCTAAAGTTTAATAAAAAACACAATTTACCAGTATTTGATATCTTGTGAAAGCGTTTTTAAGTTAAGAATGGAAATGTGCGTAATACATAATCAAATGCTAGGAGGCCTCAACTCCCAGTAGGGCCACACTCAGTGTCGTTTTAGGTTCTTCAGGATCTTCTGTTAAATCTATAATGTGAATCTCCTGTTGCAGTGAACCCATCATTTAAGTAGGACTCTTGGTATTCTCTTTTAAATGTAGCTTTCTTATTGTGGGCAGTCTTAGAGTCTTCTGCTCTCTCATCATTGAGTCTGTCCTTCTTTCGAAGCAGCTCTCCAGTAACATTTGTTTTTTATTCATTTTAGCTAGGGTTAGCTTGTGGGCTTACCGAGACTGTGACTGACAAAAGTGCACAGTTGGGAAAGAGGCGCGGATGGAAGTGGGAAATCAAATAATAGGCAGGCCTTACTCAGACTAAAGTAAGTGTTGGATTCTAGCTTAAAGCCTGCCACCAGATGCAGCTGTATAATTGAAGTACATCAACTCATTTGCCACTACAAAGACTGCCACTAGATGCAACTTAATTGTTACTTGTCACTCACTGATAGGGTTTTGATATGCATCTGCAAGCAATTGATTTATTATGGTCTCTGTGTAGTCAGACCTCTCTGCTAATGTTAATCTGTATTTGCAGTCGCTTCGTAGTGCTAGAATTACCACCGCAGCTCCACCTCAAATCACCAGGCATTGGATTCTCATAAGGAACGTGCAACCTAGATCCCTTACATGCGCAGTTCACAGTAGGGGTCACACTCCTATGAGAATCTAATGCAGCTGATCTGACAGGAGGCGGAGCTTGGGAGGTAATGCTAGCCATGGCAAGTAGCTATAAAAATAGATGAAGCTTCACTTGCTGGCCCACTGCTTACCTCCTGCTGTGCAACCCTGTTCCTAATAGGCCATGGGCCGGGGACCCCTGAGGTCAGAGTTCTAGGCTGCTGGTTTGATTCTCTCAACACTTTCCATGTTTGCATGGTTTCTGAGGCAAAGCTAGATATAATTTGTTTCTCTGTTATTAAGGTTTTCTCCTTACCCTGGCTTTTTTCAGGAGTTTATCTTTGCTTTTCTGATGTTTAAATATAATATGCCTATTTGCAGTTTTGTTTTTTGTTTTTGTTTTTTGTTTGTTTTGTTTTAGTGTTTGTCTTACTTGGTGTTTTCTGACCTTCCTGGATCTATAGTATGGTGTCTGATGTTAATTTGGGGAAATAGTTATGGTTCCTTCAAATATAGCATCTGTTCCCTTCTCTATTTTTTCTCCTACTATTCTTATTACATGTATTTACATCTTTTGTAGTTTTCCCCCAGTTCTTGTATATTGTTTTTTAAGGTTTTGGTTTTTTTTTTTTCTCTCTTTTTCAGTATTGGAAGTTTCTGTTGTCATATCCCCAAGTTCAGGAATTGTTTCCTCAGCCAGGTCTACTCTGCTACTGAGTCCTCCAAAGACATTCTTCATTTCTGTTAGTGTTCTCAATCTTTAGCATTTCTTTTTTATTCTTTCTTAGAATTTTTATCTCTACACTTAAATTATCTGTATGTTCTTGTATGCTGTCTACATTTTCTATCATAATCTTACTAATCCTAGTTGTCGAAAATCCCTGGTCTGATAATTCTGACATTTTTGCCATATCTGACTCTGTGTCTGATGCTTTTCAGTCTCTTTCAACTGTGTTTTTTGCCTTTTTGCATGTCTTGCGATTTTTGTAGGAAGTAGACGTGATGTCCGAGGTTTAATAAGTGTGGTAAATAGAGCTTCAGTAATGCAGTGGTAAAGTGTGCAGGGAAGGGGAAGTATTCTATAGTCCTGTGATTAGGTCTCAGTCTTTTGGTGAATTTGTTCCTCTGGATTGTGAACTTCAGTTTTCTTTTCTTTTTGTTTTTTTTTTGAGACGAGTCTCGCTCTGTCGCCCAGGCTGGAGTGCAGTGGGCGGATCTCAGCTCACTGCAAGCTCTGCCTCCCGGGTTCACGCCATTCTCCTGCCTCAGCCTCCCGAGTAGCTGGGACTACAGGAGCCCGCCACCTCACCCGGCTAGTTTTTTTTTGTATTTTTTGGTAGAGATGGGGTTTCACCAGGTTAGCCAGGATAGTCTCGATCTCTTGACTTGGTGATCTGCCCGTCTCGGCCTCCCAAAGTGCTGGGATTACAGGCTTGAGCCCCGCACCCGGCCTGAACTTCAGTTTTCTAAGATTTCATCTTTCCCCACCCTTAGGCGGGACAGGATGGCAGGAGGGCAATGGAGTTGGTATTTCCACAGGGAAGGCCAAAGGAGCTTGATTTGTGTATTAACCCTCCTCTCTGTGGAAGGCTGGAGTTGGCTGGAGTTGGGTTATTTCGTTTACCCCAACTAGGTTAAGCTCTGATAAAACACCAGCAGTTTAGGCTCTGGTTATATAATTTCCCCTGAGGGCAGGCATTTTTAAGAACAGAATGCTCTGGCATATTTTAAATGGTTCCTTTTCCCCTCCCCTTGCCAGAAACAGAAGGGGATTTTCCTCTGGTACTCACTGAAGATCTTGTAGTACTCCTGGAGGTAAAACTCACAGACTGTGGAAGCCTCCTGTGTGATTGGGTCCCCATGGAATTTTTAACTCTCAGATTTGTCTACACCAAGTCTCTAGCAATTCATTAGTTACAAATTTTCCCACCCTGGCTCTTCTGCTTATGGGGTTTTGCTTTATTAGGTTATGATCATCTGTTTCTACCTATCCTTTTTTTCCAGTTTTGAAGACAGTAGTTTGCCCTGTGACCTCATTTCTCTCACAGATTTTAGAAGACTTGTTGTTATTTCAGGTTTTTCAGCTTTTTATTTTATTTTTTAGGACTAAGTGGTGACTTCTGATCTCTTTACATTCCGGGCTAGAAACTGGAAGTCTGTATTAACTTTTTATAGTTTCATAGCCTAGCCATCTTCCTGAGTTCCATATCTACCTTTCTGCCTGATGTCCATCTCTACTTGTATGTTCAGATGAAATCATAATCATAGACTCTAATTATATTAAGTATATCTGCTTAAGTATAACCTATTTTTCTATATAACCTACTGTTCTTCTTTATATTTACTTCTGCCCAGAATATAATCTTCCGTGTTACTTAGACAAAATCTTAAACCTTGGTTATCTTTAACATTAATTTTCCATTCACATCTTTAAACAATCATTTTCTCTAAATCCTCTCACCCTGCTTCCAGTTTCTTCATTCTGTTCTCCATGCTCTATTTCAGCTCCTTGTTTCTTTTCAGCTAAATTAGTTAGAATAATTTCTTTAAATGATACATCCATATTCATTCTCAGTGAATCTTGTTCACTGCATCTAGCTTTGTCCTATTTCTTCTAGCACTCTCTTGTCTTTTTCCTCTCTTCTCTTCCCTTTCATCAGACTTGCTGAGAGTCTAGACACTAGACTGAATGCCGGGGAATATAGAGATTTACAAAGCCAAGTTCACAATTCCTGGAATTCTACAAGAAGGTTGCGACCTACATTTGTAAGTTTTCCCTTTTATTCCGCCCACTTGTAACCTATAAACATGACAAGATCTTCTTTGTATATTCTTTTTAACCTTTTAAAAAATGTTCTTTCTAGAATGCCTGTTCCTTTTTCCATTCTTGCCAGAATCTCCCTATTTCTCAAAATCCGTCTCAAAAGCCACCGCTCCAGAAAAGCCTTTTCGTCATTCGCTCAATGTCTTCTTGTATTCTACTTCCTCTCAATACTTTGTACTTAACATGGCCTTTATTTGGCTACCATATTCATTCTGTTCTATATGGTAATCATCTAAAGGCTTCTCTTATGCCTCTGATTAAAATTTGAGTTTGTAAAGGGTGAGTCTGCCATCTTTGAAATAGCCTGGACCTGATAAATGCTATTTATGTTGAATTGCATGCTTACCTTTTGGGAAAGTGTCAGTTCTTCAAGGCCTAGTTCAAGTTTACTTCCGTAACACCCTCCCTTAGCTACTGCACATGTAACTATCTTAGCACTTAGTTTCCATTGTCTTTTTTTTGGTCTTTTTGTGTGTGACACATTAAACTAGTGGGATCTTATTTTATTAACTGTAGAATCCCCAGCACCTAGCACAATGCCTAACGTATGTGCTTAGTAAATATTTTTTAAATAAATGGAAAAATAACCTCTTTTTTTGCTTTTGCAGTACCTTGTTGATATCTTTTACAGCACTTAACCACATGCTGAGTTGTTTGAAGGAATATTTATATTTCCTGCCTTCCTCTTCCAGATTTTAATCTACATGGAGGAGAGGGAATATCTTCCCTTTGAAAAGAATTTCCTTCAAAGCTTTGCCCATAGAAGCAATAATACATTTATTCATTCAACAATTATTTTGTGAGTGCTTATTTTGTGCCATTTTTTCTATGCAATAGGGAATATAAGATGGACATTTTGAGATGGACAAGAATCCCCGATTCATGGATCTTACTTTCTAGTTAGAGAAACATTCTATTTGTGCATATTGATTTTAGTATTAGCTGGAAATGATTACCTGTGAAGACATTTTTCTTTAGTATTTATTTATTTACTTAGAACTTTCACTTTTATATGATTAATATATATATAGTACTATTTACATGTTGAAGTATACTTTTAAGTCAAATAATAGCTGTCTTTCATGAAGTTTCTCCTATATGCTGGGAACCTTACATACTTTATCTTTCTTCAAAAAACGCTGCAAAGTAGGCTTTATTGTTTCTGTTTTAGAGATGAGAAAACTGGGGTTTTGAGATGATAAATAATTTGCTTTAATTATGGTGCATAACTAGGAAGCAAGAGAACTAGAATTTAAATCAAGGTGTGTCTGTTCATACAGCCTATATGCATTCCTTATATTATACTTCATTTCCAATTTCTTCACATTTGTTCAAGACAAACTTTTAAAGTCTTACCTCCTTTTTTCTTTCCTCACAGCCACAATATGAGAACACTTCACTCCAGACACCATTTTCAGAGGAATCAGTTTCCCATTCCCAACAAGGGGAATTTGAGCAAAAGCTTGCATCTACTGAGAAAGAAGTTTTACAGCTTAATGAGTTTCTCAAACAAAGACTAAGCCTATTTAGTGAAGAGAAGAAGAAACTGGAGGAAAAAGTAGGTATTTGTAATAAAATTGAATTAGGTCAACATTTCATCAGCATATAATTATTTGTCTGTCATTTACCCTGTCAGGTGTCATACCAAGGTTATATATACACTTATGTGGAGGTGATTAATTTTGTAGTAACTTTTGAGAAGCCTTCTGCTATCTGCAGAAATCCAAGGATTTTCTTTGAGGATGGAAATGCTCTTGTATATCTTTATAACAAATAGTAAAATATTTTTAAAAATCAATTGTGTACACCAAATAACTGTTCTTTTCCTTATTGAATCTATGATTTCATTTTTTTTTTTTTTTTGGCATGTTGGGCATAAAGGGTTGGTAAATGAAGATGGCTTATCTTTAATAGTCATGCAACTTATTAAACTGAAGCCCTTGATTCAGAATAATAAGCTAAAAGCCAAATATACAGACAGGAACACTGTTTGATCTTTCTGCCTTTATTAAAAGTATTTTCACGAATTTTATCTTATTCCATTTTATTATCATTCATGATTAAGTAGGACATGTGCTAGCCCTAATTTATTGAAGAGGTACAGATCCATGAGCTGCATAGTGGCAGCAGTGGTTTTAGCCTTCTCTTTTAATCTACTCAGCTTAGTTTTGAGCCTCCCATTCAAGTGGTCATAGAGCATATCACCATGATTTTCTTTTTTCTTGCTCATCAGTGCTTACTTTATTTTTTTCAATTTTAGTTCCATGGTTTTTGGGGAACAGGTGGTTAGTTACATGGATAAGTTCTTTCGTGTTTTTTTCTGAGATTTTGGTGTACCTGTCACCTACACATTGTACACTGTACCCAATGTATAGTCCTTTGTCTCTCACACCCCTTCCCGCCATGTTCCCAAAATCCATTATAGCATTGTTGTGCCTTTGCATCCTCATAGCTTAGCTCCCACTTAAAAGTGAGAACATATGATGTTTGGTTTTCCATTTCTGAGTTACTTCACTTAGAATAATAGTCTCCCACTCCATCCAGATTGCTATGAATGCCATTATTTTGTTCTGTTTTATGGCTGAGTAGTATTTCATGGTATACATACACAGACACACACACACACACGCGCGCGCGCACACTGCATTTTCTTTTTCAATTCGTTGGTTAATAGGCTGATTCCACATTTTTGCAGTTGCAAATTGTGCTGCTGTAAACATGTATGTGCAAGTGCTTTTTATGTAATGACTTCTATTCCTCTGGACAGATACCTAGTAGTGGGATTGCTGGATCAAATGGTAGTCTTACTTTTAGTTGTTTAAGGAGTCTCGACACTGTTTTCCCTTGTTGTTGTACTTGTTTACATTCTCACCAGCAGTGTAAAAACATTCCCTTCTATTTCATACCAACATCTATTTTTTAAAAATTTTTAAATTATGACCATGCTTACAGGAGTAAGATGGTATCTCATTGTGATTTTAATTTGAATATCCCTGATAATTAGTCATGTTGAACATTTTTTCATATGTTTGTTGGTCATTTGTATATCTTCTTTGAGAATTATCTATTTATGCCCTTAGCCCGCTTTTTGATGGGGATTATTTGTTTTTTCTTGCTGATTTGTTTGAGTTCCTTATAGATTCTGGATATTAGTCCTTTGTCGGATGCATAGTTTGTAATATTTTCTCCCACTTTCTGGGTTGTCTGTTTACTCTGACGATTATTTCTTTTGCTGTGCAGAAGCCTTTCAGTTTAATGAGACCCCATCTACTTATTTTTATTTTTTTTGCATTTGCTTTTGGGTTCTTGGTTACAAACTCTTTCCCTAAGCCAGTGTCTAGAAGAGTTTATTTGATGTTATATCCTCTAGAATTTTTATGGTTTCAGGTGTTAGGCTTATGTCTTTGGTCCATCTTGAGTTGATTTTCGTATAAAGTGAGAGATGAGGATCTAGCTTTATCCCAGCACCATTTGTTAATAGGATGTCTTTTCCCCACTTTATGTTTTTGTTTGCTTTTTTTTTTTTTTAAGACAGAGTCTCGCTCTGTCGCCCAGGCTGGAGTGCAGTGGCGCGATCTTGGCTCACTGCAAGGTCCGCCGCCATTCTCCTGCCTCAGCCTCCTGAGTAGCTGGAACTACAGGCGCCCACCACTGAGCCTGGCTAATTTTTTGTATTTTTAGTAGAGACAGAGTTTCACCGTGGTCTCGATCTCCTGACTTCATGATCCTCCCGCCTCGGCCTCCCAAAGTGCTGGGATTACAGGTGTGAGCCATCGCACCCGACCAATTTTTCCTCACTCTTTAAGTTGATACCTGTATATTATATAAAATAGCTATCACTTCCACTCCTCACAGACTAGGAGGAAGACCCTCACTAATCAGTGTTGCCGGAGAGGGGGGCTTTTCATATCTTTGTACTAGTTTAACTCATTTTTTTTGTTGTTAGCATCCTTCAGGCTTCAGGGGAGTATTCTAGGTCCCATCGGTACTCAGACAAGCGAAATTTCAGCCAGTCCCTTGACCAGACTTCTGAAAAGTCAGATTGTTGGATGTTCTGTCTGCTTTCCCTGTACAGGGAGAAACTTGAATCTGTCTTCACTCATTGCTGTGTGCTGAGCTGGAGCTGTGAACTATGGAAACTGCTAGCCTAAACCATCATCTCTGATCTCACTGATCCCAGGCAGCAAGAGTGTCGTGGTCCTGTTAGTGTTCCAAGACAGGCAAGGCAGAAGCCAGTCTTCTGAACAGCACCCAGAAAAGTTGGGATGTTGGATGTGTGATCCAACTATTTTCTTTCCCAGCAGGTTTCCTTCTGATCATATGCTGTATTGGGGGTAGGATTATAGAAGGTGTCTTGCATTTCCTTAATTGCTTCAATGTGCCTGATTTTGCATTCACCCAGAGTACAATAGCTTCTTGACTAATTTTTGGATTTCTTAAAAAGGGAATTTGTCCATGTTGGGGGTTTTATTATTTTTTTAATTGAATCCACATGTTGGGGGGAAGGAGAGTCCAAGACTTGCTCTTCTGCCATCTTGCTGACAGTACTCCCCAGGTCTTTAAAAATATAAATCAAATTCTTCCCATGGCCTGAAATACATTTCCTAATTATATATCCGTAGGTTCTGCCAATCTTCCTCTGATAAACTGTGTATTGATACCCTGGGTGTTACAGTTGCTCAGACAGCTCAGGCTTTGTTTCTGGTATCAGGATCTTTACACAGAGTGGCCTTTTGGCATGGTAAATACGTGGCTGCTTTTTTTCTCCCACTTTCAAGTCATCTATTTATTTGTTCCAATCTAGCTTAATATTTTTCCCTTCTACTCCTCCTTTCATATGCTTATAGAGTTTTATTCTTTTTTTTCCAGGGCTCAACCCAATTTGTATAATCCTTATTTTTTAAATTTCTCTCTAAGCTCCTTGAAGGCAGGGGGATTGTATTTGAATGTGTCACTGTGGCATATGTAGCACCATTCATGGTGCCTGGCATATTGAATGTATTCTGTCAGGTAATTTTTGCCAGGATGGAAGAGAAAACAGTAAGGTAGACTAGGGAAAAAACAATGAGAGAGAGATCAAAGTTGTCAGAGTGGGTGCCTAATGGAGCAAGTTCATAGGAGACATAGGGAAGGGTTGATAACAGATGCAAATATGGTAGAGTTACTCTTGGAAAAGAAGAGGAGTAGCTTCTGTGTGAGTGAGGCAATTAAGAATGGAAATGTATATACCAGAGAAACTTGAGTAGAGGGGATAAATGTAGAGGGCAGAGTTTGTGTCAGAGTATATGGAGATGACTTCAGTTCTTGAAGGGAGCGCATAGGTTAGTAAGAACAGGCTCCTTGGTAACAAATCAACTAAACAAACAGCACTTTGGGTCCACACAAGATTGGATCATATTGTTTCTTTTGGCATTTACTCTGTAATCCTTATCAAAGACAGATTCTATGACAGAAAAAACAATGTGGTAATAATAATAGAATTCTTTTGAGTTCTTTCTTTAAAGAGACAGACAATAAAGAAAAGTAACCGTTTGTGAACCTCTTATAAAACTTGTCCTTTCTGTTACCTTCTAGGAATGATATCAGTATTGCATCATTCCTCTTTGAAAAGAAAAGCTTAGCCTTGTATGAATAGAATAGAGAAGATTTACTAATGACACCTCATTTATCTGGAGGTGATTAATGCAGTTCAGACTTGAGTAACCTCTATTTGTACTATTTGTATGGAACAACACAAAACTTGGCAGTTCAAAAAAAATGAAACACCAAAAAACAAAACAGCGAGCTTGTCATCTGTGAGCAGGGCTGAAAAAAAACCCAAGACCCAGTGAATATGTATGATCAACATGTGACCAACAAATAACAGAGACAGTGTCCCGTAGGAGAGTGTTGGCAGCAATTTGTGATCAAGGGAAGCAAGCTTGACGTGACAGCAAAGAAAGTTGGCCAACCAAAAGAAAAAGAAGAAAAGTAGGACATCTTTGCACACAGACAGACCTATGCCAGTCACTGCTTTTTGAGGCATCATTTTGTTACATTTAATACATTTAGACAGTTGAGTCCAAGTTAGCATTAAGTAAACATAGGTTGCTTTATCATGTTTACCTCTGTAATGTACAGGGTCATTTGCTAAGGCAAGAGCAGGCTTGGTTGATGGGAAATCCAAGCACAGCTGGTTACTGAAATAAGAACCTGATAATGAGTCATAAGGAAGAACTGAAAGAAAGTTGATTTTCAGTCAGATGATCTAGATTCAAATTCGACTTCCGATTTTATGACTTAAGTCACTAAAGATCTTTGGGCCTCACCTGTATTAAGGGAGTTGTATTATATGGTCACCACCAGTGCCAACAATATGTAAGGTTTTCCATTCTGATAGATCACAGGGTAAACTGTCACACCAGCACATTTACCTTTAATCCTAAGAAAGCCTCAAGACATAATAGGATGTGTTTGTCTTACCAGTGTTGCTCCTTACCAAAGGTCATAAGTAGATGCTAACGTCACTGGTGAAATGAATAATTTTTCCACATGAAGTTTTAAAAATCGTTACACATTAGACCTGAAAGAAATTAGAAAATGCATGAAAGAAACTAGTTTCTTTCAAATTTTATTAAAGCTAAAGAACAAGTATTGGCTTTAATAAAATTTGAAAGAATAATCCATCTTACTGCTAATTATTGCCAGTTATTTTCCCAGTGAATATGGGAAAACACTGTAAAAATATTTTAGAACCCTGTAAGTTTGAAAAGAGGATTAAATGTTTGGAAGATTGGTAATTTAAGGTAAATAGGAGTAATATGAAAGAGCTTTGGCTATGAGATATGAAATTTAAAGATTGCATATTTCATGGAATGGTAGGTAAAAAGTACGTGAAAATCTGACTTTCAGCCTGTATGAATTGGGATTTACTAGAATCATTATCATGTGTGTACATACCATGATATGTACACATTATCAGTTGTACATACCAACTGAAATAAGTGTTCAGTTACCATACTTTATCAATCCTAAAATGACATAAATAGTAAGACACCTTTATTTTATGGTTTTTAGAAAGAAAATATGCTGCAAATTCAGTTATGACACAGTGCCTTAAACAGTAGTGTTGCTTGAGGTGTGGATTAGTTTCACTAGTCCATTATCTGCCCCTAAGTATTTGGTATATTCTTTCAGCTTTAGTTGCATTGTTTGGTGCATGATAAGCAATTTCTTTGCAAGTCTGTTAGTAATGAAATAGTTTTAGTTACTTGCAGTATCTTCCTCTCTTCGTTCACATAAAGCATTTGGGTATAGCTATGCAAAAACTAAGAAATCGGAGTCATTCCTTCAGAGATGAATACTTCACTGATTTCAAAGGCTTTTTTTCTGTGCCTGTCTGGGCACCCAGTAACATTGTTCCATACTAAATTGTAATGTAACATTGTTTAGGCATTTTAGACATCATTTAAACTCAACACATAGTTTGTACATATATATAACAATATTGAAATGACAAGGATATGAACAGCCTTGACCAAATTTGCACATGTGTAGGCAATAAAAACTACATCACTACTGCCCCCTGATTGATGGCAATTTATAGGATGCCATCCATGGCAAAAGCAAATACCCCCTAAACTCTTGATTTCAGTGACATAAATTTTTTTAGGTGTAAATCTTTTTTTGTTTGTTTTTTGTTTAAATTGAGACAAAGTCTTGCTCTGTCGCCCAGACAGGAGTGCAGTGGCACAATCTCGGCTCACTGCAACCTCTGCCACCCTGGTTCAGGTGATTCTTATACCTCAGCCTTTCAAGTAACTGGGACTACAGGCACATGCCACCACGCCCAGCTCATTTTTTTGGTATTTTTTTAGTAGAGACAGGGTTTTGCCATGTTGGCCAGGCTGGTCAGCCCACCTTGGTTTCCCAAAGTGCTGGGTTTACAGGCATGAGCCACCACACCCGGCAAGTGTAAATCTTAGAATGAAATAAGGTAAATCTTAATTGAGTTGCTAGTGGCCTTCGCTATAACCTGAAACTGTTGGTGAATTCAGCAGTGTCTAATAGTAAAGTGTTGGTTTTGTTATGTCTTTTAATGACTCAAAACTAATGAAGATTCATAATTGTTTTCTTCAGCTTAAAACTAGAGATCGATACATTAGTAGTCTGAAAAAGAAATGCCAGAAGGAATCTGAACAAAATAAAGAAAAGCAGAGAAGAATCGAGACCTTGGAAAAGTATCTGGCTGATCTTCCAACTCTAGATGATGTACAGAGTCAGAGTCTACAGGTAACATGAAATAAAATGCTTATCTTTAAATGACATGAAAACATGTTAACTTGACTCTTTAGAAACTTGGCTAACTATAAATTAAATCCATGTGTTTAATTGCTGTTTTGGGGACTTAATTCTAATAAGAAACTTTGTTTATCTAAGCATGCATAAGTAGATATTTCTTGTCAGTTAATAAGTGATTACCTTCCTATTGATCCTGTGTTGTAACTCTGTTAACTACTGTAGAAGTTAGTTTCTAAACCAGTCTGCCAACCCCTACCCCCCACACACACATGCACACACCCCCAGTTCTGGTGCTTTCCAACAGTCTCTAGGATTCACCAAGGCTCTACAAGACCTTTTGTTAAGTATCTTTCTAGATATTTATTTTCTTCATTCTTCTTAACCTTTATATATATATTTTTTTCTTACACCTTGACCTATGACCTCAATTCACTCCTCTGACTTCTACTTTTTTTTTTTTTTTTTCCTTAACAATACCTCAGAGTCTTTCTCCTAACTCAGGTGAGGCCCACTGTCTTGAAACCTTATTTATAAATCCACTAGATCTACTCTTCATTCTCTTCCCAGAGTTGTTCTAAGCCAGGGATTCTCAACCTCAGCACTATTGACATTTGGAGGCAGATAATTTTTTGTTACAGGGGTCTGCCTTGATCATTGAAGGGTGTACTTCTACATCCATATATCTGCCCTCTACCCACTAAGTGCCAGTAGCAGTGCTCCTTCTCCTTTATCCCAAACCCAAAATGTAAACAGATATTTCCAAATGTCCTCTGGGGGTAAAATTACCCTCACTCGAGAGTCATTAGTCTAATCTAAGGAGTGTCACTGTGCATCCTGTAAGACCTATGTTGCATTCTCTGTTTATTTTACATTAGTTTATAATTTGTAAAAACTAAGATTAAAGTCAGGAAGGAACTTAAGGACTGCAGGAGGTTGCATGAGCAGGAACAGAGGGCAATGTGTATTAGAAAATATGTAAGAAAATACCTAACATCCATTGGGGTGGCAGTTAAGGGTCTTGAACAGGTATTTGTACACCCATGCTTATAAGATAATTATTCACAATAGGCAAAAGGTGGAAGCAGCCCAAGTGTCCATGACCAGATACATGGGTAAACTAAAGGTGGTATATACATACAGTGAAATACTGTTCGCCTTAACAAGGAGAGAAACTCTGACACATGCTATCATGTGTATTAACCTGGAGGATATTTTGCGAAGTGAAATAAGCTAGTCACAAAAAGACAAATACTGTATGATTCCACTTAATGAGAGACCTTAAGAATTCAGTCACAGAGACAGAAAGTGGAAAGTTGGTTACCAGGGAATGGGGGGAGGGATAGATGGGGAGTTGTTTAATTGATACAGAGTTTCAATTATGCAAGATAAAGAGTTCTGGAGATTAGTTGCACAATGTGAATATACCTAACACAACTGCACTGTACACTTGAAAATTGTTAAGACAGTATAAAGTTGTATATTTATTACAATTAAAAGAAAAATAAGTTTAAAATTAACCTTTCTCAGTCTTCTACAAATTTCTAACCCCATTCTCTTCCTTGTAATTCCATTCTTGTAGGTGCCTTTCACACAGAGGAGATGGAGTGCTAATACTCTAGATAAAATGCAGTGTGATTTTTTTTTTTTTAGCTACAAGTCTGTCAGTCCCTGCCAACACAGTAACAGTTTCTAATAGAAGCATATTTAATATTTCATGTGTAATGAACTAAAAAATTTCTCCTTAGCTGCAGATTCTGGAAGAAAAAAATAAGAATTTACAAGAGGCTTTGATAGATACAGAAAAAAAAATTGAAGAGATCAAAAAGCAGTGTCAAGATAAAGAGACACAGTTAATATGCCAGAAAAAGAAAGAAAAGGAGTTAGTAACTACTGTTCAGAGGTAAGAAAATTTTCTGAATCCTTTTATGTTATTTTACTCATATTTTTCATAAAACATTTTACTTAAACTAATTTATAAGTTATTTTACTCTCCTTAATTTAAAGATGTACTACAGGATGCTCATCCCTTTTCCAAACTGCTTGTGAGCAGGAATGTTTTAGATTTCAGAATTTTTTGGATTTTGGAATATTTGCCAAGTACTTACCCACTGAGCATCTCTAATCTGACAATCCAAAATCTGAAATGCTCCAGTGAGCATCTCCTTTGAGCATCATTTCCATGTTCAAAAAGTTTTGGATTTTGAAACATTTCAGATTTCAGGTTTTTGGATTAGGGAGTCTCAACAATATATTGATATCTTGCCAAAAGTTTCTGTTGAAAATAGTAAAAATAAAAACTCATACAAATGAAGACTGAAAATATTAATACAAACCCTTTATCTAATGGCTTTATCAAAAAAAATAAGTAAAAATTGTAAATAACAAAAAAGGGGCCAGCAAAATACTCGAACTGCACTCCTTAATGGAATATGTCAAATTGAAGTAATTGGCTCCTATTTCCCTTTACTGCAAGTAAAAGATACAGCAGTTTTGCCATCTATCTTCCAGATTTACTTACATATCTTGCCTCATGGGACTCAATTAATACAGTTGTAAGTACAATGAATACCATTTGCAAATTCAGTTTGTGTTTATTAAACTTGGAAATTAATATTGGATCCCTGAAAAACCTAAGGAAGTATTTTATATGTATAGATATGGATGTTCTGTTTTGCAAAACTTAAACCTTAATATTACCAACTATAAATAGATAAAACTATCCTGAAGAATAAAACAACAAAGGAACAGAAGCGAAATGCAAGAAATACAATCTTCATACTTACATCAATTTTACAATTCAATTTATTCTTAGCTTTTAAATAAAAATCCATCTCATTCCATGTTAATTTCATGTTAATATTGCTTTACTACTACTTTGAGTCTTAAATATGCCTTGTCCTACTTTTTTCTTTGGGTTTCAATGCCAAAAAATTTTTGATTTCTGGGACAATTCAGTTTGAATGAGAAAACACATGTTTCTCATCATCTCGGCTCCCAAAACAAATCATATACCTTTAATTCTGCTTTTGTCTCCTATTTTCTGCTGCTTGTTCTTAAATTTTCCTTTTTATAACTTTTCATCTTATGCCCTGTTCTTTATTGTCAGAACAACTTTCTGATCTGCACTAATTCAACCATATAGCTTTTTCTTTCATCTTTACTGATAAAATGAAAAGAGACACTATATCTGTTCTGTCATATAGAGCATTATAATTATAAATTAAAGCTGTGTTGCTTTAGGAACAGAATTAGCCACACCTGAAAATAATTTGAGTGTTGCTTTGTTCTGTTGTGTGCTTTTAGATTGTATGCTTTCTCTTTTATTTAGACTTTATCTTTTATTAGGTTTTGTGGAAACACTGAACCTCATATTCTTGTTTTGGAAAGATTAGTACGGTGCATTTCAGATAACATTTTCCACTTTTAAATTTCATCTTGATACTATCAGAGATGATACCATGTCCAAAAATTTCTCTTGATTTCAAATAGATATAAAGGATCAAAGGGTTGAGGATGGTATCACAGTTTTTTCAGCTCTATAAGATAATATTCCTTGAGTTCCAAAGAACTTCAGATGTATATGTGACTGTGAATTATATAATTACATTTATCTGTTTTATATAATATTTCTAAGCTTCCTGTTCTATGAATACTTAAGAACATTTGCAATTTATACATTAAATAAGAAAAGCTTCCCATTAGACCTGAAAAATAAAGTGAAAAAGATGGGTGAGCTCCTTAGTAATGCAGTAGTAGGTACCACTTTAAGAGATACTTTACTTTTTGAATTAAACATGTTATATAACCTAAAAATGTATAAATGAAATAAAATTTATTGGGCATTTTGCCATGACAGTTCCTCTCTTCATAGCTGGCTCATTTTTTTATTTGAAAGACTTTAATATTTTTAATACATATTGTTTCTCATGAAATATCTGGAAGTAGTGTCTTGACACTGAATTGGTAAAACAAAACAAACAAAAATCTCATTTTGAAATAGAAATAATTTGTTTTACACTTCAGACTGAAAAAAGCAAATAATTATGACAATGTATTACACAGCAGTACACTACATCGATAATAAATACAAATGTCTCTGGCGCCATTATTTGTAAACATCTGAGGCCCTTATTGTACCATCTAGGACTGTCAGTTCTCTTTTCACAATCTGGATAGGGCATTTCTTCTGTTTTTGAAAGACAAAGCATAGAATAGCCATAATTCTTGAAAAAAAGAAAAATAATGAAAATATCAAAACCCAATTTATAAGAAGTCTTCCTTTTAGTACTCTGCAATGCTTGAGTATGATTCAAGCTAAAGTAGAGCTATTTCCGGTTTCTTGCTGCTATTATTTTGGTTTTGTTTTGGTAATTATTGTCTAATGATGTGACTTCTTTTAACCAAACATTACTATTCTTTCTTTCTAGCACCTTCCCCCTCTGCCCCTTTTGCCTTTTTATTTTGAATCTGCAGTCTTACTTTTGTTGTTTCCCCTTCTAAAATGCAACTGTGTTCCATGGATAGCATAAGAAAGTGTTCTGTCAAGTTATAATGAAGAAGAACTCATGAACACAGAGAAGGGAACAACAGACACTAGGGCCTACTTGAAGGTGGAGGGTGGGAGGAAGGAGAGGAGCAGAAAAAATAACTTGGGTAGTAGGCTTAGTACCTGGGTGACAAAATAATCTGTACAGCACACCTCCATGACATGAGTTTATCTGTGTAACAAACCAGCATGTGTACCCACAAACCTAAAGTAAAAGTAGAAAAAAAAAAAAAAAAGGAAATGAAAGAGAAATGTAATTCTGATGGTTTAGGCAACAGCTGTTCTTACAAGCAAACTTCTGCTGAGCTTAGAATAAAGGACAAAAGATGTGTATACATATTCTTAGGTTCTGTGCAACAGTCATCTTAATCAAGGAACTCTGCTTTTAGGGGAAAAGTGAAGAACACAAGTTAGACTTCAGAGCTCAGATTTGGGTAATGAAGAACTTCATCTGGGCCTAAGGATGTCACATACTGAGCAACTCTGGACTCTGGTCTCAAATTTGCCATTTCTGAAAAGATCAGCCTCTAGCTAACTATGGACCCTTCTTACTTGTATGAAATATAAGTAACACTTTTTCATATACTGTCTGTGGGTCTTGATTATTGGTTGATTAAAAAATACAGAACCTAAAAAGGACATCATTTATGTTGAAATCATTACCAAAATCAGCAAATAGAGCTTATTTTCATCATATAATTGTCTTTTGAAATAGTTTGCAACAAAAAGTAGAAAGATGCCTTGAAGATGGAATCCGCCTTCCCATGTTAGATGCAAAACAGCTTCAGAATGAAAATGATAATCTCAGACAACAAAATGAGACTGCTAGTAAGGTCAGTAGATACCTTTGATCATAAACGTGAAATCTATACTAAGTGGGTATGTGTGTATAGATACATAATTTATAGCTACTTTATGTGATTTATATTTTGTAAATATTTAATTGCTTATATAATTTGCAGTTTGAATGTCTTTGTTTGAAGGACCATAGCAATTCAAACAAAATTAAATAATTCAAATAAAAGTCAAAACAAAAGGATATCTTTTTCCTTCCTTAATTATTCAGTTTGTCTCAAAGTTATTCTTAAAAATTGTATAAATTTGAGAAAAGTTTTATCAAGAACTAGAGGAAGTCTTTTGTAGTTTTATACTTGTGTGATCCAAATCATAAGGATACTTTCAGTTTTTTAAAAAGACCCTTCTTAAAAATAAATTTATAAATTTCTGTGCTGTGTTTTCTTGAAATGTTGGTACTTTTAAGAAGTGATGTAAAAATTATTTGAATCAGATGTATTTTTTTTTTTTTGTTTTAGATAATAGACAGCCAACAAGATGAGATTGACAGAATGATTTTAGAAATTCAGGTAAGGAATATTTTGTGCTTATTTTAATTTAGCTATATTCTGATATACTCTTAATGCTTATTTAACCTGCAGATATTAAAGCATGCATATATTGTATGGAAAGATAATATGTATAGCACTGAGGTAGAGTTGCAAATTCTTTAATATTAATCTTCCAGTTTTTGCTGTTTGGTAAATTAATCCTTCAAAAATTATAAAGATTCATCAGTGAACAAGTCACATGCCTGACCATTCTAGTGGGGTGAGTTGGAGAGAATACAAAACCAATATAATGAATGCCAGGTGCTATGAAAAAAATTGCTGTTAAAAATGTTATTTTAAAAAGTAAGCTAGAGAGTGCTACATTTAATAGAGTGGTCATGATGTTTTTCCTGAAGAGGCAATATTTGAGCAGGGATCTGAATGAAGACATCCAGGGCAAGAGCATTTCAAGCAAAGGGAGCAACAAATGCCCTTTATATACCTGGTATGCTCTAAGAACAGCACAGTCTGTTAGCCTGGCGTTCAGGAATTGTGAGGCTGTTATTCTAAGTGTGATGGGAAGCCATTGGACATCTTTTGCTGAAAAATGTTTAGCTCTACACCTCCTAATTTTACTGTTACGTCTTAAAATCAAAGTAAAAGTAGTAAATGATTTGCCATTATATACAGTCTTTGTCTTTTGGTTGTATTATTTATCAGTAAATGTATGAGCCTGATGGATTGATTGACAGAGGTTATAAACTTTATTTTGTATTCCTACAGACATAACTTCAGTTGTTCCATAACCCATTAGAATCTCTAGATTGTTAGATTTCCTCAGCCATTGTTATGTGACTTATTCTGGACCATAATTCAAGAAATTTCTATTTTACTTGGGCACATTTTCCGAGAAGTAAATCTAATACAAGTTATCTCAATCTAAATTAAGAATAATCAACACGTGAACTTTGGCATTGAAACTTTAATGACTTGTAAGATTTCATTTATCATATACTGTCACATTATAGGTGTTCAGTATATATTTGCATTCATTGAAATGTGCATTTTTTCCCCATTTGTGGAGACATCTTACTGCAATTTACTCTTACATGTTAACCAAGTCTGTAGTCACATGTAAATATGTCATGACCATACATAAATGAATACGTAGAAGAATATGCAATTATAGGCCTTACTGTTCTTTGTTATTAAAATGCTTCAGCAAACACAAACCTTTTATTTCTTCAAACTATGTAGAGAATTGAAATAAAATTAATGAGATGCATTTATTTCCAAATATTGGGGCCTAGACACTATAATCATTAATTCTGTTGTCCTTTGAATCAATGACTTTTTTGGATTTCTTTTCTTTTTTGTTCTTAGCATCTCATTTGCCCATTCTGACCATCAAGGTCTGCACATCTAGAGACAGAGATCTATAGATTTAGGTCACAGAGACAGACAATAAATGTTGATAGCTGGCCGAAATAGCTATATTTGTGAACGTGGTATTTGAATAGCAAAGCTGGAGATGAATATGACTCACATAATGAGAAAATTATTTACTAGTTTTAAACTCATGTTATTTTTTGGCCCCTTATCATTTAAAAAGACAGAAATTTTGTTTGTATTTGGTCGTTTTTGATGACCTTTCTCTAAAAGGTATATGCTCTATAAAAACCTGAAAATATTGCTTATTCTGAAAAGAGGAACACTAATTATTTCCCTAGCATTGGAAACACTGAAAAGAACACTTGGGGTTGAAAAAATATTCCTGTTGCTTTCTATTGTGGTTAATAGACATAATTAATGGGTGTATGATCATACTGATATACCTAATAGAGCAACTCCCTTCACTTCCTACTTCTTTAAAGCTGTGTGATTTTTCCTTATCTGCTTACATAAAGAATGGCCAGCTTGTACCTATGTAGATTATGATGTCCTTTCCATATGCTATAGCTGTTTTTGAATTTCTTCAAATATCTTCGCCTATCTAAAATAACACAAAATACTATATAATTAACGATAGCAGAGAGCCTCCCAATTATTTTTAATTATGCATTTTGACTATCACTATAGTATTAATTTTATGTAAAAGCTCATTGTCGCTATAGTTTGGATATTCTTTCTTCCTCCACAGTGCTTGGATGTTTTTCCATTTTGGAGTATTCGGTAGGCAAAGATAACTTGGTACTGTTAGAATCTCATGTGTTACTGCCTCTTTATGTCTTTGCAAATTGTCGAGAACGCCAAATTTGTTTGAAGTTCATTTGTCTTGATTTGGTGCACTGCATTTCCTTGGTAATAAGCAAGTTATTCATATAGTTTAAATTTACTCCCAAAAGGGAAAAATAAAATCCCAGGCTATGTACATTTTATGTCCAATTTATAGGAGATAAAAATAGGGCATTGTTTCATATTTAGATGCTGTGTTCAAAATACAGCTATAGTTTATTATTTTGCCACAAAAGTCAAATAAATACTTACCTGTTGTAGGTCACTGGCACGTTTATTTATTCACAGCTTTCAAAGTTGGAGAGAAATCATTCCTCTACTAGTTATACTATATTTGTTGTTGAATATAGAAAAAGTAATACTTCATATAAAAGTATATGCTAATTTGGAAATTGAGTTTAGTGCTGTAAAAATACAGATTTATCTACTGTTTTGTTCAACTGTCTAGGTCATATTGTTAACTGGCATAAATACCTTGTTTACTCATTGACCTTTTAGAAGTGTTGCCCTTCGTTATATCCATAAAACTAGTAGAGCTAGCCTGGCTGCTTCTCCTATAGGTTTTTTCTTCTGTCAGTATACAGTATATAAAGACATTTTGCGGTAGAATGTTCCGTGTCAGTTCCATGAACATATGGCTACAGTCAGAATATGATTGAGTTCTTCATTGGGCATTACCTTCCTTCTTACTTATTTCTCAAAAGCACATTTCACATCCGTAAGCCTTTTTCAGTGAGCTGTTATTGTAATCTTTTGGCAGAGGACGTAGAGGTTTGTAATGTTTGCTTGTTTTCTCTGACATTAAAATATTAACTAATTGCAAGAACTTAGGCATTTAAATGGCGTATCTGAATTGACAGCTATCAATAGAAAATTATACTATGACAGAAGACAGAATAATACGTTAGAGGACATTTAAGACTGTTTACTCGGGCGTGGTTGGAACCACCAATCTCCAAACTGTGACAGTCTGTTCTATTTATAACACATCGAGATGTTCCCACAGCCTAAGAAAATTCTATTCCAATTTTTAGCAAATCTCTTAAATCCTTCATCTAGCAGTTTTTCTTAGTAGAAATAGTGGGAAAATGGATCATAAGTCAATAGAGTGTCTTATAGGTAGAACATAACTCTTTTAAATATCGATTGCTTTAATGTTTTCCCATTAACATTGTGTGATGTTTATCTCCTATTTTTTTGTTATCCGAATTTTGTTATGTCTTGAAATAAAGTACTTTTTCTAAAGTTTAATTTTGGAAGCATTTACTTCTGTAAAATTGCTTATGATGAGTGAAAAACTAAAAGTATTCTTATCAGAAGTTAATACTAAATTTTGAAAAACCTACCAGCCAAATAATGCCTTCTATGAAAAGTAGCTTAAAAAAAAAAACACTCACTGTAGTCTCTGTGCTGGTAAAGAGAACAGTCTTTACTGTTCATGTAGATCTGTTGTATGCATGTTATAGTTGCATAATTAAGATATGTCAGAAAAAATGTGTAAAAGGTGGATTTAACTTTTGAAAAATCAGTTATGTCAGGGTGGGGAGTTGTACGAGGGAAGACAGCTCACTTGAATCATGGAAGAATGTTCTTGGGCCTATTTGTGCTATGAGTAGTCACCAAATCTATATGGATATTCACATTTTTTGTAATACTTTTTAAGATATGTATTTCTGGGCCCTATTGTGAACCTAATGAATCAGTGTCTCTGGGATGAAGTTGAATTATGTATTATTAAGTTCCTCAGGCAGTCCCTAACTTTGCCATATGGTCTGGCAGTAGAACTAGAGCATTTAGGAAGTATTAGAATCCTCAGCATGCTCAGTGGACCAAAGAGTGGGAACTGGAGAGAAAGACTGAGGTTTAAATTTAAAAAACAAGTTTAGTTTCTAAGATACTTAGGTGTCATCAAACACATTTAACGTATTTTGGTAGATCTCGCTTATAAACCAGAAAATACATTTTTTCCAGAAGTTAGAAGACAAGGAACTCAAGCAGTAACAGTTTTAAGATACAAGTCATCTTCAATTCGTGTGCAATTCAATACTTTTTAGTATATTCACAGATAAGTGGAACCAAGACCACGGTCAATTTTAGAACATTTTTATCATCTCAAATGGAAGCCTCATTTTTGTCACTTGCCTAAGCCCCCGTCCACTTCTCCAGCCATCTCACCTCTGATCCACTTTCTATCTCTATAAATATACCTATTTTAAACATTTCATACAAATGTATATATGGTCTTTTGTGACTCTTGACCATAACCAGCTGTTAGGCTCCACTAATTGTCAGCCAATCAGTCTGTTGTTTTCAACAATACCCTGTGGCATAAATTGCTTCGCAAACTGATCCATTCTAGCTCTTTTGAAGGGATAGTTCATTAGGTTAGTGTTTGAGATTTGTTCTGACCTCAGGAGTATTCTTCACAGCTATCTCTCTGTTTCTCCCTGGGAAAGTAGTTAGTCTATGGATTTAGCTTATAGTGCTAATGAGTCTAATAGTATCCTGCCAACTGCCTTTCACCACAACCTCCAATGTTTTTGAGTGCTCTAAGGCTTGAACGTCACACTGTTGCAAATGAAGTGAATTCCTATAGAGAGACATTTGGAACTCCTAGTTCTATGGCCTACTTTTCCTCAGGAAAGTCTCTTAAGCCAAGTTAATTGGTGTGGGGACAATGGCAAACTTCCGAATGGTATCCCCACTCTAGTAGCTGAACACTCACTGGAGTGAGTTGGGGCAGCAGCTCTACGTCTTTTTGACTTGCCTCTCCCAGCGTAGAACCAGTGCCCCACAAGCTGGGCCAAGGGTCAAGGGTTCTGCACTCACGTAAGCTTCCATCCCGTAAGGGGATCTGGGTAGAAGAAGGGAGCCCCCCACCTCTTGGTTGTATGTCGTTGCCTAAAACAGCCTTTGCTAGGATGATAAATGTTGATGCCCTATCTTTTCTGAGAAGAGAACTCTCTAACTGGGATTTGGGAGGAGAGGGAACCCTGTGTTACTGGCTCTCTCAGTCTGAAGTAGAATTTCCATCTCAATGAAATGTGAGAAGGCAGAAATGGAGTTGAGTTTTGTTTCATTTTTTTCCTCCTAGAATCCTTTTGTGAAGCAGAGATATTCTTGAGTAAATGTTTCTTCATTTGCTATATGCTCTTAGGACCATTTCCAGAAATTTTAAATAATAATATTCACCAGTTTCATTGAGGGGTGGGTCTGTGGAGCTCCTCAACTCTGCTTCTAGTCCATGCTAGAGGCAGAACTCCAGGCAGATTGTTTTCAAAGTTTTATCAAATTACAAGATGATAACTAACTTAAGAAAGGAATTTGAGCTGTACATTGTCTTAGATTCTTAGAAACATAAAAAAGCCTCTTTTTTCTATTTCTTATCTCCCCATCACCAAAAAAAACACCCTGCTATACATTTCAGACTTCCTATTAATGGCATCTCTGCCCTTCCATTTGTTCAGTCCAGATATCCTGGACTTATCCTTGACTGCTCACTTACCTCACATTTGTCAGCAAATTCTACTGCCTTGAATGTATATCTAGAATCTGACCTCTTTTCCTTGCCTCCTCCATTGCCACCCTGTTCCAAGCTGTCTTCCTTTCTCATCTGGGTTATTTCTTTATGCTTCTACCCTTTCCTGTGGACAGTATACTCTCATTAGGTTAAGTGATCCTTTTGAACAAAAATCAGATTACATCATGTCTCTGCTTCAGAACTCTTCAGTGGATCCTCATTTTTTTCCAGAATAAAAATCGAAGTTCTTATACTGATTTCTGAGGCCCTATACAATCTGTTCCGCATGCTGTCTTCCTTCTCTGACTCTTTCTCCTACTATTCTCAGCCATCCTGGCTCTCTTACTTTTTCTCAAACACAGAAGACACCATCTGTCCCAGAACCTTTGTACTGACAGAAACTCTCTGGGTATCTCTGGGACACAGTCTGTCATCCTTCAAACCCTTGCTTACCTGAGATTTCAGCCTTCGGACCCTTACTGTGTTCTGTTTGTTCTCCACAGCACTAGTCAAATTCTAATATATGATACTGTGTAACTTGAATATTTATTTTATTTCTTTTGGTCTTTTTTCTCCTAGTATAAAGTTCCACAAGGGCCAAGAGTTTTGACTGTTTTGTTCACTGATGTATCACTCAATGAACAGAGCAGTGTTTGGCAATGGTTTTTGCTGAATGAATGATTGCATGAAGGAAAGTTCCTTGTGAATTTCTTATGTGGTTAAGCATGTTTATGTGTATATATGTGCAGTAAAAATGTTAACATAAATTTACTTTCAAAATAATTCCTTTTAAATTAGGTTTGTGGATTATATAGAATCTGTTAACTAAGGCACACCTGGTTCTCCCTCATTTAAGCTATTTGTAAATGGGGCATTTCTCGATACTTACATCAAAACAATAAATTTGCTTAATACCACTTTTCAACTTCAAAGATGATCATTATAAAGACCTTGTAGGTTAGTACCTTAGCAGAATTTTAAAATGTCATGATTAAACTGAGAATTTGAGAGCTTTTGCAGGTTTTTGCAAATTAATTTTTAATTTTATTAATCCACTACATGTCTAGTGAATGATAAACAGTTATCGTGAAATTCACAAAGCTAAACACTCATTTCAGAAAACATGAGATTATTTCATTTATGCATTGTAAAGTACTACCAGTTTGAGCAAGTATATTTTAAGAGCTTAAGAGATTTCAAAAAAATGCTCTGCAAAAGGTATTTGTAAAATAACACACACTGTTCTTGATAGAATTTCTTTCTTGTTTTCTTATCTTTTAAACATATCTTAATGCAATTTAGGATAGAGAAGTAATTAATGCTTCAGACTAAATGTTATTGTCAGACAACTATAGCACTCATACCTCGTATTATCCTAGAGATTGTACAGCACTTGGTCCTTTCAGGATAAGCCTATCTGCAATGTCTTTTACCTATTAAAGTGCTTCTTGGTAACTTCCCTTGAATTCAGGCAACATAAGAGAAATCTGATTTTCCTTTTTGTGATAAATGACACTACTGCCAGACAGTTTCAGTTTTTCTGATGGAGAAGATTGCCTGTTTCTGCATTGATTAAAATCAGCCTTACATAGGGACATATTAGTTGGATTTATTAGCTAATTATTAGTCACATTCAACATGACTCTGAATTGATAAAAATATAAAACATCCCTCTTGGGTTTAGTTTTTTGTTGTTGTTGTTGTTAGAATGTGAGTTTGAGTAGTGTGTCTATGGTGCCTTTCTTCTGTAATTCTAATAAACAATCACAAATCTTGAGAAAATTTAGGTTGAATTCTGGATTCCAGCCAAATAATCTTGTTAAGCCAGAAAGCATAGATCTTTACCTAGGTGAATAAATCTCCATGTTCATTTAATCAGATAAGGATTGATTCAATCTAATGAAGTTACAAAGGAAATTTCAGTTTTCAATAATACACATATTCAGAGAGCCCCATATTGACTGTGCTATGAGACTCATCTTTGTGGAATATAAAACAACTTTTCCCTGGAAGGAGAAACACTTGTTACAGAGTTTGATTCATTTCTATCCAACTTCTGAGTTACTAAATGTAATATTTTTTTTCAGAGTTTAGCAGACAAATGAAATTTAAAAGCAACAAGTTTGAATATCTGTTACTGATAAAACTGCTTTATATTTATGGAGTCTTATTTCAACCCATGGTGATCGCTATCTTTTCTTATCCCATCCAAAGATAATGTGAAGAAAATACCTTTGTAGTAGATTGTGTGCTATTTAGGTGGTCAGCAACCTGAAATATTGTCAGAATTGAGACTAAATACAGACCTGAAATAAAATGATACCTCTCTTCTGGTCGTATGTTTATTGATTTTGTCGTCTAATAAAAGGAAAATAGTTGATAGAAACACTTAGAATTCACTAATAACTGCAGGGTGTATGGAATTTTTTTCTTTTAATATATAGGTGAAAAATAAGACACTAACCAAAGACTCAAAATGTCCTTTATGCTGCTTTGGCGTACTCACAATGGTGTCATGTCTAGATAATTTGCAATTTTATAAGGAGTAAGAAGGAAATTAGCTTATCAAATTCCCATAATAGACCTTTGACCAGAGTTCACAGTGTATTTACTGCTTGAAATACTATACACTGAAAGATGGGAACTATGTTTCAAATGATAGAAAATAGGGATGATATCATGATCTTATTATCTTGCATCTCATTAACTGTAAGCAAAATGTAAAACAAAAGTATAGATTTGTTGCTAATACAGTCTCAACATATAAAAAGTTAATGAAATAACTTTGTAATACCACATTAAGTAGGAACTTCAGATTTGACATGTTTTATACAAATTAAAAACTTCCTTGGTAAAAACTGTAATTTTTAAAAATCCAAATGTATTCTGGGAAACTGGCATTTCTTTTTCTTTTTTATTTGGATTCAGCTACTCTCTAACTGATAAGGATTAATTTAAAAGTGAAGGCTTCATTTTCCAAGGGGATAGGGAGGAAAGACGATCTAAAGTATTCAGAGCCAACATTCCTACTTATTTCTGTTTGAGATTTTTCTTTACATGTTAACCTGTTTTGCTTTCCAATTTTTTAAAAATTCTAGTCTATGCAAGGAAAGCTTTCGAAAGAGAAACTGACCACTCAAAAGATGATGGAAGAGCTGGAAAAGAAAGAAAGAAACCTACAGAGATTAACAAAAGCATTGCTTGAAGTGAGTAGAAGAAATTCAATTTGCTTTGAAAGAATGATTCATTACCTATTTAAGCAGATGCTTATTTTTATAGATATTAATAGAGCATTTTCAGATTAAAGACATGATTTTGATATGCCTGTTAATTAATTCCATTGTTTCTTACCAAAATTATTATAAAAAGACAAGCCTTTACTTCTCTTGTGTTTTAGAATACAGTTTCACATAATTACAGTACAGTATATATTTATTAGCTGGCATTCATCTATAAAAAAGTTTTTTCCCCATCACCCCAGACTGTTGAGTTATTCTGAAATACAGTTCCAATTGGAAAGCTAATTAAAGTTACCTTTAATTAGCAGTTTTCAGGATAAGAAGGTAGCAATTTTGGGGGTCAGCAGTTCAGAGTTGTTGAATTTTTCTTTTGTATTTCTTTGTCTCTTACATTGAAGTTTTTGGTTCCTATCAACATTAACATAGATGCTTTCCCCCCACCAACGTGCAAAAAGTAGTTTCAAAGTAATTAAATCACTATTGCTACTAACAATAAAAACCACAGAGTGTGAGGTTCAGAGTTACTTTGTAGTTCTTTTTATTCTTGGAATAAATCTCATTATAGAAAATACAGGATGGGTGTGGTGGCTCACACCTGTAATCCTAATACTTTGTTTTGGGAACCTGAGGTGGGCCGATCACTTTACCCCAGGAGTTTGAGACCAGTTTACGCAATGTGACAAAACCCTCTCTCTACAAAAAACACAAAAATTAGCTAGGCGTGATGGTGTTTACCTGTGGTCCCAGATATTCAGGAGGCTGAGGTGGGAGGATGACCAGAGCCTAAGGAGGTCAAGGCTGCAGTAGTGAGTCATGACTGTGACACTGTACTCCAGCCTGGGTGACAGAGTGAGACCCAAAAAAGAAAAATACACACACAACCAACATGCTTATTACGTGAGAGACTCCTAGAAACAGAGACTGGATTTGTTTCCTCCTTTGGATATACACTAAAGTATCAGATGGCACAGAGAAACAGTTTTCACTATTTAAATTATTTTTCTATGTGGTTTTTTTTCCACTGCATATATGTAGTTGAATTTGGTTAATGTGCGTATAATATGACTCCACTGTTTCGTTTATAGACTTGGGGGAAAATGTTAACCTGTATGGCTTTGAGTACCTTTCCTCTCTTGTAACCATCTGATGTTTGTTTTCTTTATCCTTGCAGAACCAAAGACAAACAGATGAGACATGCTCTTTATTGGATCAGGGCCAGGAAGCTGACCAATCTAGGCAGCAGATAGTTCTTTCCAAACGGCCACTATTTGATTTGACTGTGATTGATCAGCTGTTCAAGGAAATGTCCTGTTGTTTGTTTGACTTGAAAGCATTGTGCAGTATTCTTAATCAGCGTGCTCAGGGCAAGGAGCCTAATCTTTCATTATTACTGGGAATAAGATGTAAGTGTCTGATGACTTGTCCTTATTTTGTGGCAATTAGAAACCTGTCTTCATGAGTCAGGAACTTCTGACTGCCTTTTCTCTGTTTATTTTTGTAATCTCCTTTCCTACTTAGAATCAGTCTGTGGGTTTATGTATACCTGTTATTACTTCATTGCTAGAAGTGAGTGGAGTTATAGCTGACATTAACTGCCGCTTGGCAGAATGCCTGGTGATATTTCCTATGTTGAATCTGTAAATAAATGAGTAGAGTGATAGTTAGGTGTGACTTCCCATTTACTCTCCCAAAAATAATGATACCTTCGATTTGCTTTTATGTGTTAGTTGCATAGATTAAGTGACCCGGCCATATTGTCCACTGGTAAAATGTTTGAGAAATATTTTGCTTTCCAGTGCAGTGTATGTTCTATGGCAGCTGCTTCACGTGAGTGCCAGTGATTTCACATGAGCCAGTTTTCATAGCCTACAGATCTGTTGCCTTTGTCAGGCATACCTACTGGCTTAATGTGACACCCATTCACTCTTGGCCTCAATTCTATCTTCCTCCACACATAATTGTGAGAGCTGCCACAGTGATAATCCCAGTGTCCCTTCCTTTCTATGCTACTTTTGCAGAAACGCCCATCTCTGCATGTGATTCCAAATCAGGATGTTAGTCTCTTTTTAATAGAGAATAAATGAACTTGGAAGGAAATAGGAATGGAGTAAGACCACATAATAAGGTTTATGAGCCAACATGTATATTTAGTAGCTGCCTAATATAATGGTAATATATGACTAGAGGGGTGACTGGTTTTGTTCCTAGTTTCATCAAAAAGATTCCACCATTTTGCATCATGATAGTTATTGGCAAATCAATGCTCTTGACCAAAGTATATCACTAGTTAAATAAAGCATTATCTGTGCTCAATTATGTCCCTTTCATTTCATAGACATTTGTACACATACACAAGTGTGGATATGGAAAAAAAACATAATGTTTAAGTATATTCACTCGCAGAATAAACATTTATCAGATGCCTTCTATGATCCAGACACTAGTAGATGCCGGTAATGCAGATAACCCGAACACAGTCCTTGTCCACACATTAACCAAATTATTAGAGCATTGTGATAGGTGCTATAGTTGAGATGTGGACAAAGGACAGTGGGAGCACAAGAGGAAAAAAACAACTAAATCTACATGGGAAGGGCTGTGGAGACTCCACAGAGTACCTGGTGTTCAGTGTTGCTCTTAGAGGAGGAAGTGGAGAAGTTTGCCAGGTGAACATGGAGTGCTTTAATATCTTTTGGGAGCAAGAAGCAAAGCTCACACACAAAGGGAACTCATTTTCTCCACGATTTTAGAGTTGGTCACCCTTTTAATTACTTGAGAGTCTCCTACATTTTCACTATCATAAGGTAGCGTTTGTTAAGTGTTTCAATAATAAAGTAGTAGAGCTATCCTAATATGAATCTTACCACCCCCACCTCCCAGTGCTCCTTCTAGTCTTTAAAGTTTGACCCCAGAATCCTTACCTTACATTTGGCATTATGAAAATTTTACCAGCCAGTTGATTTGTGAAAAACCGGTCGATTAATGACTCCATTTGCTCACTCTGTCCTTCTGAAAACTGTGTTACCTTGGTTTCCATGACATCATTCTCTAGGTTCTGCTTCTGCCTTTATGACTGCTCAGTCTTTGTCTTCTGTGGACTTCTCTGTCACTTAATTATTGGTATCCCCAGAAGCCTTTTGTTACTGGTTTTAGTCTGTTTCTTTTTATTCAGTACTTTATCTGAGTGATCTTATTCACTCCGGTTGTTTCTGTTACTGCCATACCTTTCACCTAGACATTTATCTCCTTTACCCAGACGTTTATCTCCTCAGGGTTGCAGATTATATTCCCATGTATATTAGAATTGGCTGTTTCGAATGCATCACAGACTCTACACATTGAAAACCAGAACACACTTTCCTTCCCTCCCTGAACTGTTCCTCTTCTCAATGAGTAACACCACCATTCACCTGTCACTTGAACCCAGATTTTATTCTCCACTCTGCTTTTTCCTTCATCTGGCACCTGTGCCCAATCCCTGCCCCTCACTCCAGTTGATGATGATTGAGTGTTATCAGTTCTGTCATCTGCTTACTACATCTAACATTCCTGCCTTTCTATCTCCATTGCACTGTTGCCTTAATTTAAGTTTTCATAACCGGTCACCTATACTGGTCTCTCTGACAACCATCTTTCTCACCCCCTCCCCCTAATCCATTTTACATTGTTGCCAGACAGATCTGTCTCAACTCTAAACCTGGTTTCCTAATGCTTACACTGCTCTGTGGTCGAGATAGGTAGCTCCTACCTCCTACCTACGTCTATAGGCTTATTTCTTGGTACTGTCCTTTGTCACAATTTGTACTCTACCATTTTAGAGCCTAGATACTGATTTTCTTGAGGTTTCTCAAATTCTATCAGATTGTTTTGCTTTCTGACTCCACTTTTGTTCATTTTGCAGTTTGGCCCACCCAGTGAACAAGCAACTGTTGCCTCTCCAGTTAGAACTAGTTTTGTTTTCTTCCTTTTATGCCACTGCAACTTGTATATAGTGGTAGGTTACCTACGGTACCTCACTGTGCTCAGTTGTTTATGGAATTGTATGTAAAGCATCGAGAATAAGCCACTGTGTCTGTTCCTTTTCTGATTTCAACATCTAACAGTTCCTATATCATGGCAGATGTTCAGTTAACATTTGCTAAAATAACAGTCACTCACTGACTCTTATGCTACAATAAACTACTATGAAGGTATAAGGAGAGGTTTCTTTTGTAATCACTAGCTCTGCCTGATTTTATGTTGAGATATGCTTACAAAGAGAAGAACTGAAGTAAATAATTAAAAGCTGGCTGACTCAAGGCCCTCAGTTATTTAGCCATAAGGCAGCCAGCTATCAGCCTGATTCAGTTGTTTGGGATTGTAGGATCCTAGCTTTCACTCTTCCTCCCCCTCTCCCTGTCTGTCTCTCTCATTTTCCCTCCCCACTCTCCACTCCGTGTGTGTGCGTGTGTATGTATGTGTGTGACACTATATATTTGAAAATTAATATTTTCATGGCAGTAAACCCACTTTGCATTCGTAAATATTTAAGATGCCACTTCTCACTACACAAATGGTCTTCAGATTTTGCCAAATGGGAAAACTGAGTGCTCTAGTTGAGCTGGAAGAGAGACATTAGAGTGTGCTCTTTTTCACTTTTGGAATATTGTTACCCATTAAACTTGCTGAATTTGTGTGTATCACTGTGTGAATTTTAATTTGTGTGAATTTTAATTAATTCATTTTAATTTGTGAAATTTATAAAGGACCAAGCGGATAAGATCTGTTTAATATTGAATGATGTATGATTTAAACATAACTTGAACCTGGGCCTGACTGGTATTCAGTGTGTAGTATTTATATTTCCATGATGATTAAGGTGAAAAATTCTAAAATGTCTTTGTTCAAAAAAATGTGAGATATTCTCTCCATATTTTGTTTACACAGCAATGAACTGTTCAGCTGAAGAGACTGAGAATGACCACAGCACAGAAACACTCACTAAAAAGCTGTCAGATGTGTGCCAGTTACGAAGAGACATTGATGAATTAAGGACTACAATATCAGACCGCTATGCTCAGGACATGGGAGACAACTGCATTACTCAGTGATCAAGTGTTAGTCCCACAGCAATAATGACCTGTTGTTTAAATGCTGCTGTGTTACAGACTCATAATGGAAGGTTGCAAGTGACATGACTTGCACATAGGGATTTTTTTCTGTGGATTTGTTTTATTGAAGGGGAGAAGGGAAGTGAAGTGATTTTGAAGGGGCTTATCTAATCAGGCAAAAAAAAAAAAAATCAAATTACCTTTGGAAAATATGATAAAATCTACAAGAAAAAAATGTCTGTATTCTCAAACTACTGATTGTAGGACCAAGCTGTGAAGAGTACCCTTCACATGAAGGAGTAGGCTTCCCTTTAATCCTATAGCTTCGTGTATTTGTGTGTGCATGTGTGTGTGTTGTGTGTGTGCACATGCTTTATTCACAAATTTATAAGGGTTTCTAGGGTCAGAGCAGAGCTTCTGAGAAAGGCACCCGCTGTTTATTCTTATATTTCTTTCATATAGAAACTTGTGTTGTACTTTGGGATTTTCAGTGGCTGGCTTAACAAGAGTTCCAACAGCAGGCAAGTGTTGTAATGATAGTACAGCGGGAAAACCATTTGTATTTTGAACACTTACTGCACTGATAGGATGTTTTGTGGTTGAGCTGATTTTAGTACTGTAGATATGTCAGCTGTTTTTCCAGAGTGATTGTGGATTTCCCAAGAGGTGTGAAATTTTGACATGATGCTCTTTTTCCTTAGCGTTGTAATGTATGTGTTACAAGAAAGGTTAACATAACTTGAACTAATTTTAACATGTTCCTTACTATTTACAATTTTTTATTTATATGTTTTATAGATATACATATATATCAATGTAAACAAAGCCATATATAATTAATAAAGGCATTGGATCATTATTATAAAAGAAAGATTAACAAAGTTACCCTGGAACGATAGCTTACTTATCCAAATCTCAACATTTACATTTTAACAGTTTTGTATCTGTTTCAAAGTTGAAACTACTGTAAGAGAAAGCCAATACTGTTTATATCTGAATCAACAGTAGCATAAAAATTTTTAAATTGAAATGGCATTTTAATTCCTTTTATTAGATAAAGTACATTAACAACAAAGTTTTTCATAGGATATGAACTTGACAAGGTTAGTTCTTCATCTCAATTACAGGGTATTACTATGAAATGCAATTGATTTTCCAGTAGACATACAGTCATTTAAACTTCCAAATGAGTTTTGTCCATGTTGCTGTTGGTATTTTGGAATGATTATACATTTTATTGCCATCAGCATTGATTATGTTCTTTTGAATATACTTAGTTATGGCCAAAGCCTTGCTTGTCCTTTGTAAGTTGATTTGATCTTGTGATGCAACCAAGTCTCATTTAGGTCAAGACTAAATAAGAGATGGAGGGGTAGAGGGTGTGACTCAAGCAGGATAATATTGATTTGATAAAGAGCATATCACATACCTGTTTTCTTGCCAGATAAAGGGCATAGCACATGCCTGTTTTCTTATATTCTAGAATAAAGGCTAGGAAATCTAGGAAAGATTTTTCTTAAGTATGTAACAATGAAAATGTGAGACAAGGCCTTCAAGGAGACTACCCAGGAAGATACTCAGTTTGAAATTTTGGCTTATACAGCTCTCAATAGATTATTTTACAGTTATAGTTGAATAATCAGTTATAATACACTGTAAAGACATCAGATTTTCATTCTGTTCAGTGCCTGAGTCCTTCCTGCTCTTCTTACTTCTGAGGATCTGGGCACTAAGAAATCAGTACATTGTAGTGCTTCTGCATCCCAGAGTCCTTGAGGGTCTTAGTCACTAGTAAGAATTTGACTTTCTAATTATATTCACTTGGTTTTTTAACATTAGTAGCTTGAAGATATTCAGGGTATAGTAAATTTCTACCAAAAATATGATGCAAAGAATTCTGCCTTGGTCCTTTATGGTAAAGTAGATAATAACATCTAAAACAGATCATCCACAAGTGCAGCAAACATTTTTACATTCTCTTTGAATAGAATCCCAACCACCCTCCCCCACGAGTTTGGAAATAAAGGCTTCCTAAAAACAAATTGACAAACAATCACTAATTGGATCAGTAGGTTCTTACTTAAATATCTCTCCTAGATTTTTAGTGTATGTTTTGGGATTTTATGTTTGTTTTTTGTTTTTAAGCAAGCGTTACAGTTTTTTTTAAATCTGCTATAGATACATTTTTGTTTTTTGGCTTAGTTGGGGATAAAATAATTTATTTGTTTTTGTAAACTTTCTAAAACTTATAGAAATTAATTTAATTCACATATCTTAAAAATAAAATTCTAAAGTTAAAAAATTTCTGACTTAGTAGGAAGTTAACAAACTACTGCTGATGCATTTCAGTTTCCAAAATCTGTACCCCCCCCCCATAAAAAAGGGAGTTAAGATGTGCTAGTTTAGTTAGTTGAATTATAGATTGACCCTCTTAAAATCTGGAGTTTGTAAAGGGGCCTAAATAAACAGTAGATAGACTTGGGAGGATTTTGTAGGGGAATTGAAACTAACAGTATTCTGGTTTGTCAGTATTTACTTTTTTATTTTTATTTTTCAGAAAATTTTCCTTTCCCAGGACACCTTCTTGTATTAGAACGTCCTCTTCTGTATCACATTAAAAACAGATTTTACTGTTAGACCAAATAAACTGGGCAAATAGCAACACTAGAGCATCTCACCCAGTTTGAACTAGGATGTTCATGGAAGTTATGACAGCAGTATATTCCTGAAATGAAAATTAACCTAAATTTTAAGGTGAATCTGTTTGAAAATTTCCTTAGATAATGAAACCTCGTTTTATTTGTGCTTTTTGTGAATCCAACACTTGTTTTCTTACAAAGTATCTTCTCTAGTATTCGTATTTTGTTCTTTTGGGTTTTAAAATTGAGCTTATTCGGCCTCAGTCACATTACAGCAAGGATAAACTAACAGTTGACTCAATGAAAGACCCAAACTCCCTGTACAGATAAAATTCACTGAATCAAAGGCACAATAGCTGTCTTTTCACTTGAGGTCAGAAAAGTAAGATGACTTAATTTGAACTATTAATTTTCAGTGGCCTCTAATTAAACAAAAACAAAAAACCACAAATACTGGCTAGGTAAGATATTCCTGAGGTTATTTTAAAAGAAGTGTGGTACCTAGAATTCAATATTTAATGCTAACAGTATTATATTTTAGCGAAATTTATTTTGGTGGTGACAGTTTATTAAACTTAATTAGACTTCTTTCAATAGCTTGTTGTAGAGACAATCTCAAGGGCTGGAAAGTGTTGCTAAAATGAATATCATACATTTCTGATATATTAAGGTGCTTATCAAGTAATTCTGTCATAGTGCAAGAATTATTAATTTCTTAGAGGGTATTTTTAAAGGAGCTACTTAATTGGGAAAATGTTCTTTAAATATCAGTAATAGTTCATTAAGTAACATAGTAGCTGAGAACATGGACTATATTTTTACATAGCATAGTTCAGCTTAGGCACACCTTTAGTTGGGATTATTGGCATTCTCTTACGTAGGAATTGCATCATTGTAGATATGTAATTATGGTAATAAGCAGTTTTCATAACCATGCTCACTCAGACTATATCATTTGAAACTGCCACCGGCTGTAACTCTCCAAGCCAAAGTTAATTCATTTTGTTTCCATTTTTGACAATTCACTGTTCACAAAACAAAAGCGATTTCGTATTTGGTATAAACAGCAAAATTTCCAACTTTGCCCTAAAATGCCGTGGGTGGCATATTGCCATATGATTATATCATACATTTAATCATGTAGGGGAAAGATTTTGGATTTTTTTTCTTATTTAAAAAAATGCTAAATGTAAGAATATAGTTTTAAATCAACAAGTCTAATAACACTATTGCGGCTGTACACAGAGAGAACCTTTTGTGCCTTTTTGCCTGCAGTAAGCATTTATTTCTATTTTACATGAGTTCTGAGAATGTTGATTATTGCACCTTGTTCTTGTGTAAATAGACTTGATTAAGGGATTTTTTTTTTTTTTTTTTTAAGCAAGGAGCTGTTTTTTATTACTAGGTGGATACCTTAGTAAACATGAGAGGAATTATCAGATATATGGTTTTGGAGCCCAGCCTTCCCTGTATAGTGAGCTGGAAACTCCTTTAGAATGTATTCATTGGTGTGTATGTGTATGTACATATATGTATAATTAAATACATAAACATGAAACTTAACATCGCATTGTTGTGATGACAAGAAGTAGTAAGGTGCTAGGTGGTTACATTAAAAAGCACAGCACAGTGTATAATCAGTCACTATGACTGGTGGTTTTGTAAACTAGGTTCAGTTTTTGAACCACCCAGAATACCTCATGTGTAAATATAGTGTTCATGACTTAATTGAAATAGTTATTGTAAAAAAAAAAAAAAAAAAAGTGAAGCCACTGGTTGGCTTATGCCTTCTGATCTATCATTCTTGCCTCTTTTTTGTAAAGGGGTTTTTTGTTGTTGTTGTTTTGTTTTTTACTAGGGTTTACAGCTAGAATTTTGAATGCCAAAGTTCTATTTATTAAATTAAGAAAAAAGTTTTCAATGTTAATGGCTAGTATTTTTCCACTGGACTATTGTTTGTTGATGTTGGAATTTGTATTTACAGAGAAATAAATTTTTTATGAAAAGATTTCAAGAGCCTAATGTTAATATAAGAATGTATTTGTACTTTCAGGCTGTCTATTCTGAATTCTCAATGACAAGAATATGCTGTCTTGACTTTTAGGTAAAAGCTTTGTGTAAATGCACAGGAGAATCTTTGACTAAAACATGGAGACTTCTGCCTTCTATCTTATAATTTCTTTCCAATTACAAAAAAGCTTTTTCTCAGGGCCTTCTCATAAAGGGTGCTGAGATTTTCTGATGGCAGGTACTGTAACATAGGAAATCATGCCTGTGTCCATTCCAGTTAATAGCACTGTGTCTCCTTTCTGACTTTCTAAAATCCTATTTAAACCAGGAGCCTTCTTTCTAGTTTTCCAACAGACAGGATCTGACTTCAGTATTCTACATTGCTGAAAAGTTCGACTGGTGAGTCAAATCTTTTATTTTCCACCCTCTAATCAAAGGTTAAAAACATACTAAGACATACACAAATAAAGCCTTGTTAAAAGGTTGCTCTACAGGGGCCTTGACATCTCAGCTTTGATAGTTTGCTAGTCTAGTCTCAAAAGTGCTCTGCGGATGGCATCCTAAGTCCTTGTTCTAACATATATGGGTTATAACCTCAATTTTTTTTTTTTTTCCTTAATAAGACAGAGTCTCGCTCTGTCGCCCAGGCTGGAATACAGTGGTGCAATCTCGGCTCACCCCAACCTCTGCCTCCCAGGTTCAGGTGATCCTCCTGCCTCAGCCTCCCATGTAGCTGGGACTACAGGTGCGCACCACCAGGCCTGGCTAATTTTTGTATTTTTAGTAGAGACAAGGTTTCACTATGTTGACCAGGCTGGTCTCAAACTCCTGACCTTGTAATCCACCTGCCTCAGCCTCCCAAAGTGCTGGGATTATAGGCACGAGCCACCACGCCCAGCCTATAGCCTCAATTTCTACAGGTAGTTGATTAATGTTTGGATTAGCAGGATCTGTTTCCAGTTGAGATAACTTGGCATTGCTCTGTTACAGTCTTTAATGAGGCATCTAATTCAATTAATAAGGAAAGAAACACTTTGGAGATCCTGCATCACAGGTTACTTAGGTTGCAAGCAAATATCTTAGAAATAAGAGCAGGATGGATAAAATCCTAGAATATTACTAAGGTGACCCGGTAAAGAAGTTTCTCCTTCAGAATGAAAGGATTTTTCTTGATCTGGAAAAAAAGTTATTTGATGGGGGAGGGAGGTGGTCAACAAAAAGTTTTTGATAATGTATGTTCCAGGAGTTTGCCAATAGTTTGAACTTCTTTTATGACAAGTTTCCCCAACCAAACAGAATCATTCTATGTCGAAGAGCAGAGGACTCAGTTAAAAAGAGGTATGAAATAGGATGTTAGTAATGGCACAAAATGGCAGAGTGGATCCAGTAGAGCAACAGTTTACAAATGGATAGATCTCTAACATGTCAATTATGACATTCTCCTTGATTTAGAGGAGATTCCAGTTTTGGAAACTATGATAAATGTTTTTTTTAAAAAATTTAAGTAAAATTGCTGTCCTTGGCAGATATCTGGGGTGATCACAAAGAGAAAAAATCTTTTCATTTTAGCCAACATGTTTTTAAACAGTCTCACTTCATCTCTATTGAGTCCCTTCTAATAAAAGTTTTAAACTAAATGTACACATGCCCTTGACCAGGGAATTCTACTCTAGATGTTTATTTGAGATTAATAAAAACATGTCCACAAAGGCACTTGTAGATGAATGTTCACGGCAGGTTATTTCAAAATAACCCCAAACTGGAAACAGCCCAGAGGTTCGTCAGTAAGATCTTTCCACCCAGAGTTGAAAAATAGCATTCTTTTACAACCTTGCGTTCTAATTGATTGAGAGTCACTTTATTCTTTATACTTTTTGGAAAATGGAGTAAGTTTAATACATAACAAGGTAGTGGATAGGAACTGGACAACAGACCTCCCATTTACCAGAGGACTTTGGTTTACACTTCCCTCTGGAGGACTGCCCTTTGTCATGATGCCACCCTTGTTCCATGGGTCTCCCCAGTTAAGGTGAAGCACTTGGTCTCATTCCCCTTGAAACAGACTTTTTATATCATTGTGTTTGAATGCAGTCTTCCACCAGACTTTGAGCTCTTTTAGGGCAAGCACCTTGTCTTATTAAACTTTGTGTTTAATTAGCAACTAGGATAAACTCACTTCCAGAAAAGTGTAAATACCTGCCCTTTGCCCCAGGATGGAGCTCTGTTTTCAAGGAGAAAACGTAGTCTTTTAAGCACAGCCCTAGAAGGATATGGAGCTTTTAACGGAAAGAGGGTATAGTGATAAGTCCTACTTAAGCAAGTTGCATTATCCTCCTTTTCTTGGAACCCTTGTTAGTATCTCCTGCAGCTGTACACTTTCTACCCTTCTGTAGGTCCAGGTCACAGGATTGGACACAGTTGTTTCCCAGCTCCAGTGTTCCCAAAGGATAACATTCTCACTGGGCTTTAGGCCAGCTGTGTAGATTTTGTAAAAGCAAATCCAAGGTCTGGCTTAAAAGTAGGACAAAATATCAATTCTAAAACTGAATGCATGGCTGGGCATGGTTGCTCACACCTGTAATCCCAGCACTTTGGGAGGCCAAGGCGGGTGGATCACCTGAGGTCAGGAGTTTGAGACCAGCCTGGCCAACATGGTGAAACCCTGTCTCTACTAAAAATAGAAAAAATTAGCCAGGCATGGGGGCTGGTGCCTGTAATCCCAGCTACTTGGGAGGCTGAGGCAGGAGAGTCGCTTGAGCCAGAAGGTAGAGGTTGCAGTGAGCCAAGATCACGCCACTCTACTCCAGCCTGGGTGACAGAGTGACACACTGTCTCTAAATAAATAAATAAAATTAAAATGAATACAGCTGGGCACAGTGGCACATGCCTGTAATCTCAGCTACTTGGGAGGCTTAGGCAGGAGGATCACTTGAGCCAGGAGGCGGAGGTTGTAATGAGCCGAGATTGCACCACCGCACTCCAGCCTGGGTGACAGAGTGAGATGCCATCTCTAAATAATTAAAGATGAATGCAGCTGGGCATGGTGGCACATACCTGTTGTAATCTCAGCTACTTCGGAGGCCGAGGTGGAAGGCGGAAGGATCACTTGGGCCAAGGAGTTCAAGATTAACTTGGGCAACATCACAAGAACCCATCTCCAATAAACAAAAACAAAAGGGGGACAGGGATGCACAGAAAGCAAGTAACAAGTTACACCCAAAGAAACCAATCAAAATAAAGGCAGAATTACTTTTCAAAATGAATGCAGTTGCATCTGCATATATTTGCACAAGTCTAGAATATTTTAAATAGTACAGTTGACAACGCTTATAAACAGGGAAGCAAGGTAATTTACATTCTTCATTCCTACACTGACCATACAGTCATAAAACAAATGATTGTTTAGTGGCCTGTGGTGACTAAAACACTGCACAGGAAGTGTGTCTTCTATATCATCATCGTTATTAACCAACATTTGAGCACATGCCAAGTAGAAAGCCCTTGCATAAATTATCCCATTTATTCCCTATATAATACCCTATGAAGTAGGGCATTATTATTATCAGGGTGCTATTATTATGCCCACTTTGGGCAAAGACATTGAGACCCAGGGAGTTTATATATCTTGTCCAAGTTGGAACAGCTTGAAAGAGGCAGAGCTGTAATAAGAAAGAGTCTGCTTTGTGCCCCTCATGAGACTGCCTCTTGTCCCATGTTTGTGCTCAAAATTAAATTCATTTCCTCCTTCCCAAGCCTCATTGGGAAGGCTTCGTCACAGGGCTTCACCATTTCTGTGAGTTGCACCTCCATTCCAAGAATCCTTCTGGTGATTTCCTCTCCATCACGTGTAATTTTTAGTAGTTTCCTATTGCTTCTGTAACAAATTACCAAAAATGTATTAACTTAAAACAATATGTTATCTTACAGTTCTGGAGGTCAGAAGTCCAAAACAAGTCATACTGGGTTAAAATCAAGGTGTTGGCAGGGAGTCTTTAGGGGAGAATCTGGTTTTCGTTTTTCTTCCAGCTTCTGAGGCGATCACATTCCTTGGTTCACGACTCCATTCTTTGGTCTTCTAAGCTAGCAATATCAGGCTGGGTTCCTCTCACAATATCATTTCTTTGGGTCTCTTCTGCTTCTCTCTTTCCCTTTTAAGAACCCTTGTGATAACCTTGGGCCCACTCAGATAATCCAGGATAATCTCCATATTTCAAGGTCAGCTGATTAATAACTTTAATTCCATCTGCAATCTCAATGCTTCCTTGTCATGTAATTTAATGTACTCACAGGTTTCAGGGATTAGGATGTGAACCTCTTTGAGGGGGCCGTTATTCTATCCTTCCACAGCACATCCTAAACAAATTATTTCTCAAATCTGAAGTTTAAGAAGAAAAACAACATTAAATCTTTGCAGAGAATTTCTGAACTTTTTTTAACATTGTCATTTGTCAATGTCTTAGAGGATGTGCCATAATCTGGATTTGTCTGTTTTCTCATTATTAGATTCAGGTTAAACATTTGTAGCAAAAATGCTACATTGGTAATGTATATTTCTCATTCATCATATTAGGAAGCTCATGATAACAGTTTATATTATCATTGGTGCTGCTGAATTATATCATGTGGTTAAGCAGAAACACCTTTAATTTTAAGTTAAATAAAGGACAAGTGACAAGGCTTTGGTCCATGTAAGGTAGGGAGTTAGAACTAAGATATTTACATAAAAAACCAAGATTCTCAAAATATCACATTTTCAATGAAAGGAAGAGATAGAAAATCTACCCCTTAGTCAAAGGAAATTAAAAGGTTATTTGGTTTTCAAGGACTCAGCTCAAGATGAAAAATGTCCCCTTGAGAATTTGCAACCATATTCTTACATTCATGTGGAGTGGAGTTTGAACTTGTTTTTGGGCCCTAGAAATCCTGAGGCCAGAAGGTGACTTAAAGAATTCTGAGTTGGTAACTTCCTGGGAATCTTGGATAAAACAAGA